AAAGGTATTTTGGTCATTATATTTTATCAAAAAATTATTTTTAATATTTTTTAGGTGCACCCCATTAAGATGATGGCATGTACCAAATGTCATATTCATATAATTTATAAAAAAGCTAAAAATAAAATACTTTGAGGTGTCAGATCTAGATCAAACTCACTTTATCTAAATTGAACGGTAGAATGGGAAGTATAAAACCTTTATCGAGAAACATGGGTTCAGGTGGAATTTAAATTTCAAGATGGGTTATTTATGGATGCCTCGGACACTATGAATTGTCCCTTTTCCAAAGGTTATGATATGCTTTAACTTACCCTCATAAAACAAGTGGTTGAAGACAATGACCTTGATGTGAGAGTGTGGGAAAGGACTGATTTTATTGATATTTGTTTTATTTTATGGTAGTTTCCCTCAATACTATGAAACTCGATTCGGGCCTCGATCTCAGCCCGCCAAAGCAAAGTTACATGATCGAGTTCGAGTAGACTCATCCAAGTCATGTGCAAGCCTGCAACATGCTAAGAAAATAAAAAAGTAAAAATTGAACAACAATAGTAAAAAAAAGATAGATAATAATAGAAATCCTTAAAAGTCCATAAAATATAGAAAAATACTTAAATATATGGATTATTGAAAAAATTGATTCATATCTTGAAATATTTCATATTTTTCAATAATTAGATTATATAATAAAAAAATTCCCAAAATATCATAAAAACATAAAAATTTTATTAAAACACAATTCTAAATTATAGAATTTTAAAAAATTTTGATTTTTAAGCGTTTTTAACGTGGGCGATTTGGACATAAGAACTCGTGTTTCGAGTAGAGTCCGAGTTTAAGCTGCATTTTTTGTTGAGACAGTATTGAACCATTAAAGATGAGTAAAAGACCCTGAATAAGGCAACCGGTAATGGGGTCTTGTATGAGAGACCTTTAAATTGATCTAGTGCTTCAATTGAGTCACCCTCTTTAACCACCAACAATCCAATAAGAAGCTATATTAACCTGATATGATGCCGAAAAATGAAGGGATTGCCGGACTGTGGCCGGAAAGTATTCCGGTGACTACGACAGTCTTTGAGGTCTTCTGCTATGGATTTTCTATTAAAACTTTTTACTACTTGTCAATGGTTAAAAGAGAAGTTTAAGAAGAATATAAGGCCCTTTTTTAACGCTATTTTAACTCAAGTCAGAGCTATACAAGAAATGACTCAGTCCTCATACATAACCATTAACAATTGGCAAAAACTAAAAAAAAAAAAAAAGGTAAAAAACTCAGAGATCCTCCCTTGCTTCTCTCAGGGCCTTTAAAATCTATTTCAACCTCTAATTGTGAAATGTAAGTTTTAAAAATGGTGCAGATCTATAAATACTTGAAATTTTGAAAATAGATGTTTCAAATAATGTGTTACAAGATGAACGATTTCTAGGATTCGATTTTTTTTGTTTTTCTTGAATCCATACTACGAGGTTAATATGATCAATTAGAAGGTTCTCTGGAACAATCTTTTTTGCTGGATTTTTTAAATGCGCATTACTTTTATGGCATAAATTGGCACCTTGTATGAATTTTTTCCTTTTAGAATCTTAGATTGGAACAAGGAAAATGTTTCTATATTTCCCCTACAGCATAGAAGATCTATGCTTCCCTTACCATTCAGCCGTCCAATTTTGATCAAGAAAGCCACTCACCATTTGATCTTAGATCCGACGTCTCAAAGTATTTTATTTTTAGTTTTTTTTATAAAAATTGTATGAATATGAAATTTTGTACGTATCATCTTCTCATTGGGGCGCACCTATAAAAATATTAAAATAAATTTTTAATAAAATATAATGGCCAAAATACCCCTTGAATCTTTCAGGGGTATTTTGATCATTTTATTTTACTGAAAATATTTTTTTTATATTTTTCGTTAGTGCGAGTTTAATAGAGGTCAGCATGTCCAAAATTTGATTTCAAAATAGTTTATAGAAAAAAAATAAAAATAAAGACATTGTGATTGGGGCAATCTTAGCCCTCCATTCAGAATGGACGGTTGGATAAGGAGAAGTATATTAATTTTATGCTATAGGAGAAGCATATAAAGCTTGCCCTTGGAACAAAATCACATATAAATATATACAAAGTTGTTTCGGGAATTTTTTTTTGCATTCGACTCTCTCTCTCTACCACCATGTCAGCCATCACACGACCATCACCCCCACCATCACATCACATAATAATAAATTGTAGTTCAATTTGAAAAAACCAAGTACCCCTAGAGATGCAAGTGATAATTGATCAAAATTTTCATTCGGTCAATTATATATAAACAAAATTAAACATAATTTAACAAAATTTTAAAATAAAAAAAAATATTGCACACTTAACATGGATGAGACAAGTACATGTTCTCTGTCTTCACAAGGATGGACCGACAGAAGTATCGAGAATTCAAGATAAGATCATGTAATACAAGCCCTTCGTTATTACCATAGGTGTCAAGTAGAAGTGCATTGATGTATACAGCCGAGACAAATATGTGCACGTACAAAATACTTTCGAGAATAATTCATATTCATAAGTACACTGTCAAGTGCCCACATTACACTATTTAAACTCACAATTACCCAAAATAGGTATCATGAGGACCGGAACCATAATGCATACTCTAGATGAATAAATCCTTTAAGGACATGAATTATTTTGACATAATGTCAAAGGATGCCATCAACATACGAGGGATTTACTGAGAGTTCATGCTGAAAATATCATCTTTCCTCTCTTCCTAGTCACTTCTACCCAAAAGGGCAGAAAAGAAAATACACTTTCTTCTCTTTTGACAAATGTACCTTTTTTATGGAGATTATCGGGGCAGAATTATGGTACATATTTGCTTAATGTGCAAAAAAGATGATGAATCTGAATATATCTCTCCCTACATTGCTCATTTGCTTATCAGATATGGGTTTGGGCTTTGGGAAAAATGGGGTGTTATAGTATACCCAAGAGGTCGGATATCCTTCATCACTTTAACTTACAGGAATTGCCAAAGACAATGATGATTATATGGAAAATTTTTAGAGTGGCAATGATTTACGAAATATGGAAGGAAAGGAATAAAAAGACTTAGAGTGGCAATTATTTACGAAATATGGAAGGAAAGGAATAAAAAGACTTAGAGTGGCAATTATTTACGAAATATGGAAGGAAAGGAATAGAAAGACTTTAAAAGGGGCGGTGTTAGAAGGGGCGGTGTTAGATGGGAAGAGAGTTAAAGATAGAGTCCTACAGTTTTCTCGGAGTTGGGTTCTTTATTACTAAGGAGGGAGAAGGATATCCTTCTCAAATTTCAAGTTGAATCTTGCTAACATGATCAGCCAGCATAGTCTTAAAACTAAGCCAAGAGGGAACGCGTACCACCTATTGGACGAAGTTTCTAGTTAATTTTGATAGTAGTTCTCTTGGCGATCCAGGCCCTGCGGGAGGATGTTGTCTACTTAAAATTTTGAAGGTGTGGTGATATTAAACTTTGTAGATCCGTGCGGATTAACTTGCCGAACTTAGTTGCTCTTTGTTGCACGGCTTGCTAATTGTTCAAGAGAAAAATTGTCAATCCTACGGTGGTGGAAGGGGACTTTCTTAATGTTATTAAATGGTGTAAGAAAGAACAAGCTGTGCCATGGAGTTCAAGATCGACTTGGCCACAGATTATGAACTACTGCAGTTCTTTGAATGTTACTTTTTGTCGTGCATATAAAGATGCACTTGGGAGGCGGCGGATTAGCTAAGAGGGATGTCACATTGTCATCGTTATCGGTTTCTAATGTACTACTTTTGACAGTTTAGCGGATTGCATTTTGGCTGAATCTTAATAAAAATATATTTGCCCTTTGTCAAAAAAGAAAAAAAAAATGATGTGAAAAAATAGACTTTTTAAAAAAATCGGTTTGTGCTTAAAGGTATTTTTGAATTTTTTTTTAAAAGATGGGAAAAATATAAAGATAAATATTTATGGTCAAAACATTGTCCAATCTTTTTCAAAATGAGAAAAAACATTAAAAAAATATTACAAACAAATCCCTTATTTTTTGGATATATATATATATATATTTTATTATTTTTTTTATTTTTATAATATCCAGTTCCGATTTGACTAGCCGATTCCGAGTTGGATACTCCTAGTTTGCTAACACTGTGCTGACAGGACATGCATGTATGGCCCTTTACATGCACATCATGTAAAAAAATTCAATGTGAGATGGGCCCATGCCACGTGATTGGTAGTTCCATTCTTCACCCCATGCATAGAAGCATGTGGGTGCATAACTTTTTCTGCTTTATTCTCCTGATAGCTTATCCTAAAGGCAACCTTAACTTTATGCCAAAATCCAAGGCAAAATGACTTGTATAACCCATTCATTGTCTCCATATTTGATTAAAACTTAGATAAATTATGTAGCAATAACTCCTTTTTAGGAAGGATCTTCTTAAATCAGAAAAACGAAAAATCTTGTAAGCAAACAATGCCAAAGTTTCTTGTAAATCAAGATATTAACAATGTCACACTACTTTTACAGTTTCAGCTACATGAAATAGTGTTTAAAAACTCTGGAATCGGGTGCCAACTCGTGCACCTGACCGGAGGAGTCAGCTTGCCGGTTCTCCGGTCTGCCCACTCAGCCCTAAGTGGTGAAAAAAGAAGAAGCTGCCTGAGTCCATGCACGGTTCACTAGAGTGAATTATCCAGTTCTAGAGAAACCTAGGACGGTCCTTCAGTTCAGGTCCATCAAGAACTGGGTACTGGGTCTAAGCTGACTCGAGCAATTCAGTGTCGGCTGGCCGATTTTTCAACCAATAACCCGAAAATCAAAACTGTGTAATCTCTTTGGAAACTTACCTAGAAAAAACGAGTTATATGACAGCATCTCTCTCCCCATATTTTCATGCCATTATAGAATTACCTCTCACTCTCAAGACTAAGCATCCCCCCCTCCCAAGTAACAGAGTAAAGTGAAGCAAGCTGCAGCAATCACCAATCTCATCCTCACAGAGTAAAATTATACACAGTAAATAAACATCCATAATACCTGATCTCATGACAAAGAATCTCAACCACATAATCCTCCGAATGAATATAAAAAAAATAAATAAAAATAAAAATCAAACACCTAAAACCCAATTAAAACCTGCTAAAAACAACCCAAATCCCATTAAAACAGTAGAAATTTTTAGAGAAACCCCATAATTCTCGCGATTGACAGCTGTTACAGGAACTGGGTTATTGAAATCAGAGGGAACAGTGGTCACCGGAGCAGAATCATCATCATCACTGGAGCTCGCTGCTGGACCTGGAGATTCCTGTGGGTTTCTCAAACTTTCCGGCAACCCTTGACCATGGGTCACATTTATTTTGAATTTCTGGCCATTTTGGCATTGTTCTCCATCATAATTCCCTGAAAAGAAGTATGTTAGGCCTTCTTTGAGGAGGGGAACTGAAACTGTTGTGGCCTCTGCCTTTGTTGAGGGATCACTGCTCGACCACTCGATCGTGTCATCTGAGACCGCGTCGCATCGCTTATATGTTGTAGCATTATATGTTTGGATAACCGTATGGTTTGTATCAGTGTTAAAAACTGCAAAAATAAATCAAATTAAACATACATGGAAATTAATTATAAAAATTACCCAAAAATAAACAAAGAATGCGAGAAAGTTGTGGAGCAGGAAGAAATACAACTGACCAAAAGAAAATAAGGAAGAATAAATTCATTGTTTTTGACAGAAGGCTTGTATGGACTAAAGAATTTTTCTATTCCTGGAAATTCCTTTTCTTGTTTCTATGCATATGAACTACTGTGTGAATCAATTACCCAAAAAATACTACTGTGTGAATCAGGATTTATAAGCTGTGTGCCAACAAGAAGAGCACAAGAACTGAATCACAAAAAGTTTTAATTTCTACACTGTGTTGAGTGTGTTAACTTACCATCAAACAGAGCAGCAAGAAGAAAGGTATCACAAAAAGAAGAACCATCAGACTGAATTGATTGGTGTTTAAGGGGAAGCAAAACACTGAAATAATTTGCCATGGATGGAGGATTTTCCTCTTTGTATTGAGTCGGGATGGCTGAGAACTTCAAAGACTCCAAATTTTTACAATAACTGGAAGGTTTTTCTCAAAATGAGACTCTCTGTTACTGATACTGGAGCGATACTGGACTGAGAAAATTTTGACAGAGAAGAACTCGTTTCTATACTTAGTGGTTTCTCTCAGTTGATGTAATACAGGGAGATTTTAAATTGCCTGAATTTTTTGTTATAATTGTGAGGCTTTTTCACAGAATTATTGATATTAAAGGTTAAAAAAAAACAGTGTCAAGAGTTTCTCATAAATGAAATATTTTTATCAGAATGGAATGACAGTTGCAGATAACTGGTGAGTGATGGACAGGAAGAGGAAACCAATGGAAAACATTGTCATTTTCTTTTTCTTTGCATAAATTCAAGATTTTCCATAGCATGGGACAATTGCTATACTGAGAGAAACCATGAAAACTGCCATCAATTGTTCCATATTGAAACACAACTAAAAGACTGACAACAGTTTCTCTATAAATGGAAGGTTTTTCTTAGAGTGGGTTATAGATGTGTGACTGGAAGAGCTAATAAGTACTGTAAAGTTTTGCTATAATTGGAAACTTACTGCTTAAATTGCACTTACTTAAGAAATCTCCAAGACTGAAGTTCTTGCCAGATGCCCATTTCGGGTAATTGATTTTGCGTTGTTCCAGTTTGTCATACCAGCCTAAGGAATCCCCAACAGTGTAATTGGTGTAAGCTTGTACTGACAATGGGGTGAGAAGAAACAAGAGTGAGATCAAGGAAAGGAGGACTCTGCAAATTCTATCCATTTTTGGAATGGAGACCACCTGGGTTTGTGTAGAAAAAATAATGTCTGTAGAAAGAAGGGCTTAATGTCTTCTGCAAATTTTTCCTTTTATTGGAAATGGTGATGGTAGGAAGCTATCCATGAGTAATGGTGGTTTTATGAAAAAGAACTATGGAAAGGACTGAGGATGAGGCAAGCAACTTCATCACGTACTTCTTTCTTGCTACTGAGATTTATGATAACTCAATTACCCATCATGTAGTCACAATAACCAAATTGCCCCTTAAAACCAAGCTTCAAAATTAGGGTTTTGTGCTTTTTTTTTTTAATAAGAAAAATATCAATTAAATGATAGAAAATGGTTTGATGGGCTGTAACTGTATCAAAATAAGTACATCTTCATCTCATAACTATGCAATTCAAGCATTGGAAATCCTTACATCGATCATCTTGGCTTATTGTAAAAAAAAAAAAAAAGAATTTCAAGCTCTAAAAATAATCTATATTATAACGAAATATCTTGACCATCTATTACACCCTAAAATCACGAATTATCTTGACCATCTATTTCACCCTAAAATAATGAATTATCTAAACTAATTATCTAGACCATCCATTTCACCATAAATAAGTGTTCACAGTTCCGCAAGATTTGTACTATTTTTTTAATTTTAAATAGTTAGAAATTGGCTTTAGAGCCATCATGGAGATTTCCGTTGCCGAAAGTGTTTTCCAGACGAGGATGAGGTAAGGCTTTATTTTGTTTTCATAAACCCTACGTAACTTCATCCTTAAATGATTAAATCATATTAAAAATCATTTAGGTGGTCAAATCACATTGTATATCATCAAGGTATTGTTTTTCAATTTTCATTTTATTAAGGTACCTCTTTGAAAGATATAGTAAAAAAACCTAAGTGCATGCGATCCCTGAACAAAAAGGGACATTTTTTTAAAATTTAGCTCTACGTAAGTAGGTTGAGTCGTAATGATAAATCTTGTTCATGGTTTAGAACATGAGATTAGATTTACAATTAACAATAGCTTTGAACAATTAGCGGTGTTTTTGTTATACGGCAATTCTATGATGATATTAAGCAATCTCATGTATTTTTGTCATTTAATTCTAACCACTTCAGTAGGGTTAAATAACCAAAATGCCTATGTTTGTTAATAGTTTTGAATAGTGTTTAAAAAAGCGGTGATCCTACCTAGAATCTGGAATTGGGTGATCCGAATCGAGAATCGCTATGACCGTCCTGGATTCATTAAAAAACTGAGATTTGGTCGATTCAGAATAGTAGACTCACTGATTTTTTAGCGGAATCGTCGATTCTGATGATTCTTCACCGAGTCCTACCGATTTTTCACCGTTTCGTCTATGAGTAAAGCGAAAAAAAAGAAAAGAAAAGATGAACACTTTTTTCTTCAATTAGTTTTTTTAAATTTGAAACAAAAATTATCAATTCCACCGATGCTTCCAATCCGATCTACCGATTTCTCCGATCCTACACGGATATGAGTGTGACCGATTTGAGACCGATATGTCTTTTTAAACCTTGGTTTTGAATAAGATAATTAGTCAAATATGAACCATGTCTCCTTTGGAATTTTGGTCAAACTACCAGGTTTGGGGGCCATTGTCCAACTAGAAGGCCATCTTAGATATTTACTCAGATAGGAATGGCTATAAATGGTATTTTCCCATTATTTAGTGACGCCGCCCGTGTCGGTGGTTTTGTTTGGCTACATGTGATGCACAGCTGGATCTGCTTTCTTTATCATTCATCATTCGCTGCTCATTATATTTCTCATTTTTTATTTATTATTCTTCTTTTTTTAAAAAAAAAATATTTATGTGATTTAAGTGAAAAATAGCACTTGGGTTTTTTTTCTTATTCATTAAATTCGTAAAATAAAATTTCCCGATTTTTGTTAATGCTTGAGATGCAATTTACCTAATTTTTTTCGAGCTTTAGAAAAAACGGATCGATAACTCAGATAAATATTTAAAAAATTGTGCTGAATCGGTAGATCGACGATCTAGATAAGATAATTGATCAGATTAACCTAAAACATTAACCATAATTTCTCACAAAACTAGCTTTTTAGGTTTCTACTAGCTTTTTAGGTTTCCAAACAAGATAGAAACAATTGCAAATAGTTTTTCATTATTGTATAAAAAAATATTTAAATACTGCAAACCTTTTTCATGTTTGAGTGTTGTTGTCTATTAAATTGATTTGATAGTCACAGTGAAGCTTAAAATGCAACCCATAGCAGTAAATGGATTTCTATAACTTAATTTATTTTTTATTTTTATATTAGTTTATGAATTTTAGTTTTTGAAATAAGTTATATGGAATATTTAACAACAAATATTTGAGCATTTTTAGAATATTAAGGAGGCCTTCTTACATTCTTTGTAAAATGGAGTTTTAGTCCGAATTTGCTGTCAATTTATGAACCATTTTAATGATATTACACCTTTTTTTACAATAATGGAATACATTATTTATCAATCATTTTTAATGATATTACTCTTTTCTACATTCTAAAAATAGAGCAATGATTAAATGCAACGGTTGTATTATAGTATAATGCAACGACACTACTAGAAAACCATGTTTGTGGTATTTGTATAACCCCAAATCTTGCACACACACTCTCTTTATCTCAATAATCAATCCTCCCCCCCAAAAAAGTTCAATTTGAACCCTAGATATGGTCAAAATGAGTCCCATTCAAAAACGAATCTAGACCATTCATTTTGTGAATTTCAAGATCTTAGCCTTTATAAACTTAAAATCGTTTTTCCTTTTTTAACATTGTTCATTTAATGATAATACAGCTATCCAAAAAAATTGAAAATGAAAAAATCATTCTAAGGCCTGGATCTATCATCCCAACAAAATGAACGGCCTATGTTAATTGGAATAAAAAAATATTTTCTAGGTTGTGTTTTCAATTTTTTCTTTTTCTTTTTTTGTGATTGTTCATTAAAATGAAAAGAATGTATATTTCAAAATTTGGATCAAACAAATGACCATAAGATGGTTTTTTAAGGTTATTGCATCATATTACTATACACCGGTTGTATGAAATTGTTGCCCCTAAAAATAATAATGACATTACTATTTTTTCTACACTAATGCAATATGTTTTGGACAAGCTTTTTATGCTTTCCCTACAGCATAAAACCTATATACTTCCCCTTATCGAACCGTCCATTTTGAATGGAGTGCTAAGATTGCCCCAATCACAATGTCACGTCTGTACACTATTTAATTTTAAATTCTTTCTATAAACTATTTTGATACCAAATTTTGAACGTCCAATCCTCTATTAAACTCGCACTAGCAAAAAATATTTAAAAATATATTTCTAATAAAATGAAATGACCAAAATACCTTGAAAGTTTCAAGGGGTATTTTGGTCATTATATTTTATCAAAAAATTATTTTTAATATTTTTTATAGGTGCGCCCCAATGAGAAAATGACATGTATCAAATTACATATTCATACAATTTGTAAAAAAAAACTAAAACTAAAATACTTTGAGACGTTGGATCTAAGATCAAACAATGAGTGACTCTCTTGATCAAAATTGGACAGCTGGATGGTCGGGGAAGCATAGATCTTCTATACTATAAGAGAAGTATAGAAACCTTTCTCATATGTTTGATGGTGCGATCTCTCATCTTTGAATGATATTTTACTCCCTTGCGTATTCATTACCGAATTGTCTTTATAGGGAAGGGTGGTGGGTCCATTGGACAAGCATTAAGCAGAGTTTTTAAATCATAAATTTGTGAAAGTTGTAGGTCGGGCCTCTATGTGTAAAAATACAAAAACAGTAACAGTAAATAACAAAATTTAAAAGTATAAAAAACTTAATTAAATCAGAACCAGCAGTCATAGGACCGATCTGGACTCGTTGGATCCCGATATATTATGAGATCCAAAACGGTTTGGACAATTTTCGATCCGAATCAAACGATTCCGATTTGGAACAATGATTTTTCAAATACTGATTTTCCTCATTGTTCAACCCAACAAATATCTCAATTTTAATTTTCATTATTCTTAGGAGACATAGGAAAGAGTTTTAGATCACTTGGAAAAAGGGGAAAGTGAAAAAAGTAGGGGAATAATCTGGTTAGTAAAAGAGCCCAAGCTCAAGTGGGCTTGACAATTTCCAACTCTACATCCTCGGTTCAATTCTTAGCATGGGTAGGGGCCTCTCCTCAGTGACTCACCCACCCCCCTTCTAAAAATAAGGTCCTCCCCCCCCCCCCCAACTCAAAAACATAAAATAAAAAAATAAAAATCTAAACTCCCTTCTCTTACTTTTACCCACGCCTCTCTCTCTCCTCTTTCCCACGAAAAACTTTTACCCCAAAATGGACTTTCTTAGTAAATACCTCCTCAACTCAAAAACAAAGAAAAAGAAACCTAAACTACCTTCTCTTACTTTTATCCACGCATCTATCTCCTCTTTCCCAAAATAGACTTTCTTAATAAATACCCCCTGCAAACTCAAAAAAAGAAAAAAAATCTAAACTACCCTCTCTTACTTGTACCCACGCCTCTCTCTCTCTTCTTTCCCACGAAAAAGTTTTTACCCCAAAATAGACTTTCTTAGTAAATAAACCCCCCCCAACTAAAAAAAAGTCTAAACTACCTTCTCTTACTTTTACCCACGCATCTATCTCCTCTTTCCCACGAAAAGGTGATTAGGTGTATTCTTAGGGCGGTCCGGCAGTGTAATGTCGGTTTAGTAAATGACAGTGGCTATCCGGCAGTGTAATGTCGGTCTAGTAAATAACAGTGGCAGTCCGACACTAATAAAAAATAATCTAGTAATAGGCCCATGTGGTCTGACACTGCCAAGAGCGGCTCGATAATAGGCTCATGCGGTCTAGCAACAGGCCCATGCAGTCTGGCAACAGGCCCATGCAGTTTGGCAACAAGCCCAAAGTGTGGCCCAGCAATGTCAAAAAGCGGTCTGACACTTATTTTAGTTTAACGGGGTCCGACAATGTCAAGAGCAGTCTAAAGTGTGGCCCAGCAATGTCAAAAAGCGGTTTGACACTTATTTTAGTTTAACGGGGTCAGGCAATGTCAAGAGCGGTCTAGCAGCCCATGTAAGCCCACATAAATATCCCGCCAAAATTAAATTTTTGTGTACGAAAAAGGGTATTTTCATCAGAA